GCAGCGCGATCTACCGAGCGTGGCTGACGCTAACGCGGCGGCCATGCTTGTTGAGGGCACCCGGCTTCTCGCACGCACGGAGCAGGGAGGCACCGGGGGTTCGCGGCCACTTGGGCCCAGGAAAGGAGGGGAGGCGAAGCTCGCGGGGCTGGGCATCATTCCCAGTGGGTCGTCGGCCCCTCGGTCTAGGAGGCCGACCCGGCACCCTAGGTCTTAGGTTCGGTTGGACTTTCCCTGGGGCGGGAGTCGTACATTTTGGTGGAGAAAACTCCCAGTTGTGCCCAAGTACCCCACTCCTGCTGTCAAGCTCAAACCCCTACCAAGTGACTGGCAGCGGTGGTTCCAGAAAGATTTTCAGCTCATTTTAATATAAGAGGAGACAGGCAGGAAGCTTGTCAAAGGTGTCACAGCTGGTAAGTGCCGGAGCTGGGAGTCCGGATTCCAAGCCAAAGCACTTTCTACTGCACCATCCTGGGCTCTCCATTGAAAGTGTGGTATCAGAGATATGCTGCCTTTCTGAAGAGGACAAATAATCGGATGGCTTCTGAGGGAGGAACTTATATTAGGCTAACAAGAGTGTCCAAAGTCAACCAAAAGGTTAGGACTTTTGATAAAGCTAATTTTAAAAAATTAAAATGGGCTTCAAGTTAATATTAATCCCATGTGTGCCTGCTCCTTCCCCAAGCCTTACTTGAATGGTAGTCTTAGGAAAGAAAAAGCAACAGACCCACGAAAATAAAAAGAACAAGAAATGAGACTGCACATGAGATATGTCAACACATTTTTGGAAGGCCAAGAGCAATAATAACATCCATTCAATGCTTATTATATGGCAGGTGTTACTCTAAGTACTTTTCACATATTAACTTATTTGATCCTCTTCGGAAACTGAAAGGTAAATATATTTTACAGGTAGTCCACCACAAAGAGGTTGTTTGACCCAGGCAGCCTCTCTGTAAATAGAGCAGTGAGCACAGTGGAGAAAGTGTCTACAGCAAGTGACTCACAGAGCAGAGCCCAAAAAGGTTTTGGAACTGCAGGTGCCTGGAAGACAGAAGGGAGGGGAGCAGTGAGGCAGGACTGAAAATGGGCACGGCTTCAGTCTGTGAGAACAAACAGCCAAATGCTCTCTCAGGTGCAGTGCAAGCTGGACAGCTAGCCACCCTTCCCCGGGTAGAAAACTAGAGTTTACCATGTCGAAGGCAAGGAGTCAGAGGGATTCGAGACACATTATGAAGTGACAGTCTCCTATGGAATGTGAAATACTGTTAGTCCCTCCTCTGCCCCTCCCAGGATGCAGTCGCTCCTCTCCCTATTTTTCTCTGGAGAAGCCAAGCAAATCAAAGACCACAGAAAATGGCCTATAGCAGGATCCCTGAGTAAGTAGGCGCAGGGCTCGCAAACACAGTGCTTCCAAACATTCTTCTGTTTGAAATTTGAAGTAAACATAAAGCAGAACAAATGGCTTTGAAAAGTATTCTATAACTAGCATCCTCAGATAAAAGGTGTTCCATTCATGAAACACGAGGACTTTTTTAAGGGAAAAGTGACAAAGAATGAGTTTTTTTTTTTTTTGATGTTTATTTTCGAGAAAGAGCATGCACGCGAGTGGGGGAAGGGCAGAGAGAGGGAGACTGAGGATCAGAAGGGGGCTCCGCACTGAAAACAGAGAACCCAGTGCAGGACTCATGAACCAAACCATGAGATCGTGACCTAAGCACCAACTAAGTCACCCAGGCGCCCCAAGAATGAGTTTTTCAAAATTAAAAATGGTATCGCCAATGTTAAAATATCAATGAAAGAGTAGGAAGAATGGGTAAAACTGTACTAGAATGCACAATAAAGACAGGTGAAAACTTTAGCAAAAAATGTTTCTCAAACACTATGAAATTTACCAAAACTGAAAGATCTTAGTTTCTACAGTGAAAAGGCCTCCTGAGTTAAGAAACCCAAAGACAGACATGTCATTGTGAAATTTCAAAATGCTGCAGATAAAAGTCCTAAGAACTGCAAAGGAGAAAAAAGTTATACCAGCCAATGGAGAGAGAACCTAGTTTCAAACCTGCAACTGGCTGGATTAGGGCAGAAAGACCAAGGTTCCAAGACAGAAACTTCTGGAGGTGTTGGGGGACCAGGGTGGGGGATTGAAGGACTGAGGAGAGAACCGTTAAGGTCACTTGACACGATATACTGAGGAAAACAGTATGCAGGTTTTATGATCCTGTCACAGGAATCTGGGATTTGGTGATGGCTACACAGAACACAAAGAAGTGAAGCAGTATTACCTGCAGGAAGATTATTTAGGAAACGGGGTAACAGCATACTTCCATAGCCATAACAGAAACTTTTAAACTGAATATTATGATCTAATTAAACTGAGGCAGAGAGAAGGGAGGGAGAGTTCTGAATTCCCATCTTGCAGGATATAAAGTTTATATAGTGGCTCAACTTCAGGAATCCGGAGATAACTGGATAAGCCTACTGTGTGAAATATGGAGGACAGTACCTGCTGGAAAACCTAAAAAAGTTCAAAGTGATGAAACGCAGGGGCACAGCCTTTGATGAAGTGTTAGAATTATCGAACTTTTTAAATATGCTCATGCTTAGGAAGCTGTCGCTCACGTGGAGTTACGTGACAGAGGTGGGGTTAAGGGCTGAGTTGGCGGTTTCAGTCCCTGAACATGTGAAAGCTCTTTTGATCCTCCTTATCATCCAGTCAGTGCCCAGTGAACCGGTGCTCGAGAACTATAAAGGTCAGTATTGCCCCTCATCCTTATCTCGCCTTCCCAACTCCCTCCTGCCCCCACATGTGAATTTTAAACATTTCCATGGTTCATAACTAATTATTCTGCCAACTTCAGTGAGGAACTAGAAAAGAGGAAGGACAGCACAAGTGGAGGCAAACTTTTTAAGACTGGGAAGATACAAAATGAACTGAGAATGGAGGGGGGCTGTGCACATGAGGAGCACTGTGACACGTAAGTGGATTAAAAGCAGCTCAACTCCACAAGCTAGAGATGACTGAAGGGTTGTGGGGCATTCTGGGATGCAGTGGGTCATAAGACCAAAGAACTGAGTTCCTCAAGAACTGAGACGAAAAGGAATGGCTTAATTTTAAGGTTAATGAAAAGAATAAACTGAAAACAAAGGTAAAAGTGTTCTAGGCAGCTTCAGTTGAACTAGGCTTTGCATTTAGCGGGGCAAGAGGCAAGAACAGAATATGGACATAAATCTGCTTCAGTGAGTTTTTCCTCCCTTTATTCTGCGGACTTACTCTGTTAGCCCCCAATAGGAATCTTACACACATTTTCCTTTTGTCCCTAATATGCCTGCCTTATGTTTCCCTTCTTTGATTTGTAGGATTTTGGCATTCCTCTAGTTTTTGAATATTGGATAGAGGGCTTATGCAAATCAAAGGCAGCTAAACCT